TCATAGGAGCAACGGGCCGATCATCAATGACATCATCGGAGCCCACAAAACCGAGACTCACCCACACGTGCATGCACTTTTGCACACAGAGAGTCCAAACTCAACAAGTAAGCACGGGGCATACGTGCAAGATGGCTTGATCACAAACATATTCAGAGAACACTGCAAACACAGTCTGAATCTGAATCGGAATCTTTAGCAAAAACATCCACGGGACAACGGACAGGATTTTCTCAGAAAAGTTCACGTAGTTCTTCTTCCACAGCACAAAAAAAAAACGATGCTGCAAAGGTAACGGCTTCCCAAACATAACACTCGCAGATAAAGAAAAAAAAAAAACAAAAGCTTCGGTGGTATTCCCGCCTGTTTTCTTGCACGCGGATTTCTGTCTGCTCTCAGGCTCTTCTTTTTCTTATTGTGAAAGAAGCGGCATTTTTTTTTTTTTTTTTTTTTTTTGGTGGTCCGATGGACCACGGATCAGATATTAAACTGATCAGAACAGATACTACACTTGATCTTACTTAGCCAAAAGGCCGAGAAAGGTATATGATAGGGGGCAGTTCCTTATGCTTTTTCCTTTTCTTTTGTGCGTTTTTCTTTTCTGTTTTTGCCGGCGAAGCCGCAACGGGTCATCTATTTCGGGTAGTCGTCCCTACAATATCCGAATCCAAGAACACATCTTCACCGATTCAGGAAACCGTATATCTGCAGAAATGCATAGATCATTACAACTGATTATTATTATTATTTTTTATTTTTATTTTTTTACAACTGATTATACTATACCTTTCATCAAAGAATGAACGCTGCCCCCAACAATACCTTTCTCGGCCTTTTGGCTAAGATCAAGTGTAGTATCTGTTCTGATCAGTTTAATATCTGATCCGTGGTCCATCGGACCACTTTGAAAAAAAAAAAAAAAAAAAAAAGAATGAATGCTGCCCCCAACCATAGAAGAAGACATCAAAGATAAGTCCTGACACTTCTCGATTTATGCGTGTCATCCTTGCGCAGGGACCATGCTAATTGCGAATTATACCCTGCTCTGTATCTTTCTAATTTTAACGGATGTCCCGAAGGACAAGTCCCGATACTTCAAGTATACTACAATCATCAGATATATTCCGAAGAATGCAGAAAAAAAAAAAAACAAAAAAAAACAGTACTTGGCCCATACATCGGCCGCGGGGCACTCTGGGCCGTTGATGCGAATCATCATCGGCCCAGAGGCCGCAAAAGTTGCAGGGCGTTAACGACAACGCCCCACGGCCGATGCATGGAGGGCCAAGTACTGGTGGTTTGAAGGCTTTTCACGGGACTTTCAAAGCTAGGGGGGGGGAAGGTATGTATGTGAGGATTTGAGCCCTCGGCAGTGCTGGAAAAGGCCTTGCCCACCCTAAGTGAAGGGGGGGGGGGGCGGGAAATATGCGCCAAGGCCTGAGTACAGGCCAGTGTGAGCACGCTGAAGGGCTGTTGGAGTATATATGTGGGCCTGGAAATCCACGTGAGGTCTATTTTGTCATTTCTGCATGTGGGATACCGGACAGTTGCAGCACGCCAGTTGGTTGGTTACAGAGCAGCGTGAGCCTTCCCTGGCTCTTTCTAGAAGCAGCAGCTACGGGATACAGTTGAGCCCAGGGCTCGTTCGGTTGAGGCCCTGGGCACACGCACAAGTCACTCAGCGGCCGCGGACCAATGAGAATGCAGTTTCTTCGTCACACACTTGCCATGAGCCAATTAGATCGCAGCGAACATCGTCACACACTTGTCACGAGCCAATCAGATCGCAGCCAACATCGTCACACACTTGCCACGAGCCAATTAGATCGCAGCGAACACTTGGAGCCTCGAGGGCTACCGGGATGTGCCTAATTGCACGAGGCCCTGGCCAGTATCTGAAACTGGGCCTGGGCGCAGATACTGGGGACCGACTGGAAGCTACTGGAAACGCGCCCAGCCAGGCCCAGGGCACGGCGAGCAGAGCTCACTTTCCATAAAGGAAAGTGAGCGCGCCAGCCAGAGGACATCCTGGCCGGATAAAAGTGGGCGGCCACGCTGCTGGTTGATAGCGCCGTCAGGCTGCCTGGGTGCTGGGTGGAAGAGGCACACGGGCGCATTGTGGTGTTGGGGTGCTGCTGGTTCAACGGGCGCTCAGCAGCCATAGCCCGGCTTGCTCAGCGGAGGCTGGTGATAGTGATCGTGGTCTTCGGGTGCTAGTTCTTGACACGCTGTGGGGGACAAGGTGTGAGGCAAGAGAAGAGAAGAGACACATACTTGATGTATATGTTGTGGTCTGCATGGGTCACTCCTTCGTGTACATTGATTGGTCTTCTGCTGGAAGTGACCCCTGGTTGCAGTGTTGTAGATTGATAGGCTACCGTAGTATAGGTATAGGTGCTGGGAGATCAGATCGTAGTCTGGATGCTGAGCGCCGTAAGGGAAAGGCGACAGTGGATACTTTGTTGATGTGGAGAGAGAGGGCTGACCTTGACATTTGAGTTCATTGTATTGCTCTTATTTGGCACATATCTCAGTGCATTCTACGTTTTGCTTGGCACACGACTATCTGGTTTTCAATGTGATGTTTCTACATTCAACAATCCTTTGGTAGATTATCCAAGTCCTAGCAATCTCAGCTATTGGTGGGGTTTTGGATCTCTTGCTGGTATTTGTTTGGTAATCCAGATAATTACAGGCATTTTTTTAGCAATGCGTTATATGCCTCATGTACATTTAGCTTTCTACAGTGTAGAACATATTATGAGAGATGTTCAAGGAGGCTGGGTACTTCGTTTTCTGTCTATTGCTCTCGCTTATATTCCTTGCATCATCATCTGTATCCCGTTGGGCCTTGGCTTCAGCACTGACCAAATGTGCAAAAGGAGAATGAATCTCCACCTGGATCCTGGGAAGATGCACCGCTGTTTTTGTTTTTCCCTTTTTGGTAGCTTTGTTGTCAGCACGTGTATCCCGTCGGGCCTTGGCTCCAGCAGTCACCAAATGCGAAAAATGAGAATGAATCTCCCGCGTGAACCTGAGAAGAACTGCGGAAAACGAGAATGAATCTCCTGCTAGATCCTGAGAAGATGCGCCGCTGAACCTGCGAAAAACGAGAATGAATCTCCCGCTAGAACCTGGGAAGATGCACCGCTTGTTTTTTTTTTTACTACTTCGTTGTCAGCACGTGTATCGCCTTGGGCCTTGGCTCCAGCACTCACCGAATGTGCAAAATGAGAATGAATCTCGCAGTAGAACCTGGGAAGATGCACAGCTGGCTTTTCCCCCCCCCTACTTTGTCAGCACGTTTATCCCGGTGGGCCTTGGCTTCAGCACTCACCAAATGTCCAAAATGAGGAGAAGAAGAAGAAGACGCAGAGGAGGAAGAAGAGTAGGAGGTAGAGGAGGGGGAGGGGGTTGCCAGACGACGGGGGTGGTGTTGGCGGCCGGGGTCGACCTTTCCCCGGGACCAAAAAAGAAAAAAAGAAAAAAACAAAGGGGAATGGAGGAGGAAAGGATGAGAACTGGAGAGGAAGAAGAAGAAGAAGCGGAGGAGGAGGAGAAGAAGATGCGAGGGAGGTGAAGAAGAGT